ACTTTGACACACACACACACACACACACACACACACACACACACACACACACACACACACACACACACACACACACACACACACACACACACACACACACACACTAACCTGAGCGCGCTCTCCGTCGTATTTGTACTCGCAGGTAAACGCGGCCTCGTCAAACCTCTTCATCACCTCGCCGACACCCTTGGTGGGGTGAGCCAACATGGGTCTCAGAGGCACACCTGGGAGGAGGGAAGGGGCGTCAGAATTCAAGAGGCGGGACATCGAAGCAAACGACACAAAGAAAAACATCGATTCATTTTCATCCATTCGGAAAAGTTTGGGAAACTAATTGTGGAGGAGAAGTTTTCAGCATTTGCAACTTCATGGAGAGGAAGGGGGGGCTCGGTAACAGGCCTTCGGGTTATAAAAGCGAGGCAGATCTTTCTGCAGGAAAATAAATAAATAACCGGTACTCGATTCAATGCCACATTTCCACATGACACATCAGCCGCATCACACCCACAACTGTTTCTGTGACAAAACAACAGTTTAATATAGATGGTTTGCAATCTCATTTGGCCCTCATATGAAAGTTCTCTGACTCACGTCCCCTCGGGGGCTGAGATGCTAAGTTAGCTTCAAAAGCAGCCGGAGTGACATAATGAAATACAACAAACAAAATCTCTTAATTTGAGCTCCCAGAGCCAAATCCGACAGGACATTAATGTTGTGTCCAACTGGCTTGTGCTAGCCGATAATTAACCATTTAACTATCTTGCTTTTTAATAACAATTGTTTACCTGCCAGAATAGCTCCTAGATTTGTCTAACTGACCAACAACGGCCAATTTAGTGTCCCAATTTAGTAGCGTTCAGATGGTGTCTGGGTATTCATTCTCTACCTCGGTGCCAAGGCTCCATCACAAATAGAATGACAACAGCGTAAGTGGGAGCTTATCCTCAGTTTAGTGGTATCTTTTATCTTTAAGTGATAAATGACTCAACTAAAATAACTGTCTCGCCTCCACTGATCGGATCAATAAACACACACCAGTTTTGAATCTTGTTGCCTTTCTGACTCCTGATTGGCCGCTTTACCTGGAGTGAGTTTGCAGTGATTGGGTAGCTCGTCGATGCCTTCTTTTAGCAGAACGGGGATTAGGATGTCGTAATTGGGCATCTCGCTGGGTAGGGGAGATGAGGGAGGGTATTTGGGAAGAAAAACAGAAAAAAAAAATCAATATGGTCCGAAGAGAAAGTGAGCAGAATGAGTGAGGGAGAATAAGGGACAGGGCTTAGGGGGGTGAGGCATTATAGGAGAGACTGCAAATTGAAAGGAGGGCGTTTGTTTAGGCTTCAGTCACCAGTAAGTCTGTTTGAGAATGAGACTCTTCGATTCGATCCAGGCCCGCCTGCTCTCAGCGCTCATCCCCTTCCCTGCATCGATCACAGCGGGAGGGAAACCTATAAGGAAGGACGGGGGGAAAAAAAGGCATTTCAAACAGATCCGTGTGAATGTTAGAACATTTGTTGGACTGAATACTCGCTTGATGAAAGTTCAGAAACACTTCAAAGGGCCAGGAAATATACAGGGCTATGCATCCGTGCAATTACTTGCAGTGTACAGCTGCATGTAAGTGTTTTGTAGAACACTGGGTAAACCCAACTCAAAAGATGTTTTAATTTCCACAGTGATTAAAATGTCCTATAGTGTCGAGTAAACCTGCTGCAGAGCCACTATTTCAAGTATACTACGTCATCGAGTGGCGCCGAAGGACTGTTTAAATGCATGTTAAATGCCA